TGGTTTCTGAAACAGTTTTCTTTTTAATATGTATCTGGGGTGACCTCAAATCTGTAATCCCCTTGCCTTTGCTTCCCAGATACTGGAATTACAAGTATGCACCACCATACCTGGTTTTTTTCTTTTTTAAATAATTTTTTCAGTTATTGTAAAAGTAATGGGCTTCACTAAACATTTTCATATATGTATATTATCAAGCTTTGTTTATATGCCTCTTATCATTACCCTTCCTGTTGTCCTTTGTTTCTTCAAAAAGTTCCTCTTCTGTTTTCATGTCATTCGTATAGAGATGATGGATGGTTGGATGGATAGGTGGATGGATGGATGGGTAGGTGGATGGGTGAATGGATGGATGGATGGGTGGGTGGCAGATAGATGGGTAGATTCTGCATATGAGAGAAGAAAGTCTGCATTTGTCTTTCTTCTCCCAATTCATTTTCTTGATTTTCCCAGTTGCCTCTCTTTAGTTCTCTTCTTCCATAATATTGTCTCTCTTCTCCTTTCATGATATGTATGCATATATGACAATATATGTGTGATAATATTCACATATGATATATTTAAATAAATGTAATAGTTCCAGATTTTGCATACAAGAAAAAAACACTTGTTTTTCTGAATCTGCCTTTCTTTAACTTGACATTCTGATCTCTAGCTTTATCAATTTTCCTACAATTGACTCGATTTTATTCTTCTTTATAATTAAATAATAACTATATCATATTTTATCTATCTGTTGAGGGATATACTGGCACATACCATAACTTAGCAATTGTGAACAGTGTTGTAACAAACATGGGTGCCCAAGTATCAATCACTGTGGTTTATTGACTTAGGTTCCTTTAGGAGTAGAATTGCTGGATCATATGATTGTTCAGTTTGATATTTGTTGAGGAACTTTCACACTTATTTTCATAGCAGCTGCACTAATATATATTCCAGAAGAATATAAATGTTCATTTTTCCAGACATCTTCCTTGGAGTTTGCTATCATTTGTTTTCTTAATTATATAGATTCTGACCCAGGGTGAAATGGACTATTAATATGGTTTAATTTGCATTTTCCTATTTCTAAAATGTTGAATTTTTTCTCGTAATTATTGACCATTTGTATTTTTTCTTTTGAGAACTGACCAGTTAATATACCCACTTGTTGATTGACTGATTTTAACTTGGAATGGTTAATTTTTACTCTCATATATTAATACTTGTCATATATATAGTTGGCAAAAGTTTACTCCAATTCTGAAGGCCTTATGTGGCTTCGAACCACATCAGAAGTGAGTGTATATTTGAAAGTACTTGTTATTGTGCATGCTATGTGTCTACATTATTTTATATTTAGTATACGCAATAACAAGTACTTTCAATTTAACTGTAGCAAATCAAAATCATCCAGTCAGAAAATGAGCTTATTAGCTTGTTCCCAGAATTATACCAAATACCAATAGAACCTTTACACCTATGAGATGTAGGCAAAGAATGCTGAAATGAGAAGTGTCTCCTATTACTCTACACTGGAGAGGTCACAAGAAACATGAGGCTCATTGATGTATAAAATAAGGAGGCTCCTTAAAAGACAACAAGTCTGACAAATCAATGATTCTGTTTTGAGGTAGGGAAAACACTTGAAAGTGTTCTCAGGTCACGGGAGAGAAATCCCATAGAACCTGAATGTTCTTACCAATGAAGTAAGTGTCTCAGCAAGAACGGAAGATGCAAGCCTGGACAAAAGCCCCAGGAACGTCTTTGTACCAGATCTTGAGCACAAAATAGATAGGTGTTGGAGGGAAAAAGAAGGGAGATTCTTGGTTTGCTCATGTATTGCTCTCAGTGGAGGAGATACGTTTGAAAGCAGCAAGTGTAGCACTCAAATCTTAAAGGCATTTAAACCAGACAGTTGAAACCTTGTCTTAAACACACACACATTTGTGTGTGTGTGTGTGTGTGTGTGTGTGTGTGTGTGTGTGTGTGCGCGCGCGCTCAAGCACTTGTATGTGTAAGCCCAGACTGCAGTTAAAGGACCTGGTAGGGAATATGTCTCAAAGGCAACCGTGATAGTTGATCTCATTGTCAGTTTGACTGGATTTAGAATTACCCAGGAGACACATATCTGGGACAGGGTTTCCAGAAAGGGTTAACTGAGGGTGGAAGGCCCACTCTAAATGTAGGTGGAACTATCTCACAGGATTAATAGGAAGGGAAAAGGTAAGGCAATCTTTACTGCTTTCTGTTTCCTGGAATTCACAGCTGTGAAAAGCTCTCACATTCCTGCTACCAAGCTTCCTGGCAATGGTAGATTGTGCCCTGCCAGACGCTAAGCCCAAATAAGCCTTTCTTCTCTTATAGGGCTTTCTGTAAGCTACCTCACCATAGACTTCAGAGGGGAAAGCAAGTAACAGAAGCAACACAGAAACCAGAAACTGGGCCACATGACCAATTGTCCAAGCTCAGCTAGATTGTTCCCAGTCTTCATTAAAAAAGATCTTGAAGAGTTAGGGAGCAAACTTTGGAAGACCACCTCAACCTTGTAGGTGATTTTGAAAAAAATAGATTACAGCTCTTGAACAAGAGTGGAAACAGTGTGTAGCTATGTGAGAAGGAATTTTGATTTTAATTAAACTTTTAGTTTGAAATGAAATTATTTGTTATAACTGAAGGATATAAATTATACAAGACCCAGAAGGTACTCCTAAGGACATTTATATTCAGAGTAAGTCAGACATACAGAAATTTAAATTTTTTTCTTAATTGTTAGGTGCTCTCACTGTTTCGCTATAGTTTTATATGCTTGCTGAAATCTCCCTTCTTTTTGTTCCTTTTTGGTGAGAAAGTTTCACTACGTAGCCCAGGCTGACTTAAAACCCACAATCTTTTTCCTTCAGTTTTCAGAGTGTTGAGATTACAGGCCTCCTTTGCCTGACCTCACTATATCCTGATTTTTTAGATCTCATATATTTTCTGATAGAAAGCAAGCTCCTTTTTTCAAGATCTGACTTTAATCATTTAACCTATAGATTTTCTTGTGACAATGTATCTAACTATGCAAAGTAGCATTACAATACAATGTAAAGTAAAATATAGCATTATTTTATACTATATATACACAGTATAAGAAAACATGGAGATGCCATGGGCCAGATATACTGGAATGAGCATTTACATGTACCCTGCAGTCAGAAGCTTGCTAAGACTCACACAGACAAGCTAGGGATCAGCTGAAAGAGATCTCAGTGCCACTGAGGAGCAGGAAGGAGAATTAACAGAAATGGCAACCATATCCAAAGTAACACCTTGGTGTTGGGCATCACAGTTTAACCAGTACATGGAGAAAGGATGTCAGGCTTGGGAGAGGCTCCATCAGAAAGTGCTTTTGACATAAGCATGAGGACCAGAGTTTACATCCCCAGCTTATATATAAAAAACTGGATATAGCAGGCAGAAACAGGGGAAGTTGAGGCAGACAGATCCTGGGGGCATGTTATCCATTCAGTCTAAGCGAAACAGTAACTCCAGGTTCAGGTTCAGTGAAAGACCTTAAAAAACTAAGGTGGAGAGAGGTAGAGTAAGGTAGTTCAATATTAACCCCTCACCTATACGTACATGTACCCATACACAAACACATCCATATATGGACACTTTCACACAAATGCCAAGGGGAGAAAAATAATGGATACTGCTAAGAAACAATGTCAGTAAAAAGGCCTTCCAGAGGTCACAGGCTTAAGTTCTAAAATACTCACAACGTATAAATAGCTAGCTTTTTATAACACACCTCAGGCCCTTTCACGGTGTATCTTAGGAGGCACTTATTCCTGGGCCTTTCTTCTGTGGAACCGTCTCTACAGGAAGACAAAAATATACTTTTAATGTTACTCTGCAGTACATTCAGAATTGGACAATGGAAAGCTGCTGTCCAATAGTAAACATTTCTATCAAATATGGACTCCTATAAAGATGAAAACATAATGTCTGATGTCTCTAGAGTATTTTCACTGTCTAGTGGATGAACTGTCAAGATCATCAGGCATAGTAATAGCCATAATTAATGAACTAGCAAGGCAATAGATTAAATAATATCTTCCATATTTAGATATTCCATGATTCATTTCTTATGAAGTTTCTGCCTTTATTACTGGGCTAACACACACACACACACACACACACACAATCTTGCGTGTATTCAGAAAAAACTTTTTCTAAATGTCTTGTATGAAGGAAACAATAGGTGTTTTAATAATAATAACAAATGAAATACATATCCAGGGCTTCGTAATGGATGATATAAATATAAATAGACACAGCCATCATGAGTAGGCAAGGAATAAATAGCCACAAGAGTTGTTTTACCGAAAGCAAGCCTTCAGATAGCAGCTTGCACGTACTCCTTTGAGAATCCGGTTTATTGTCTCAGATGCCGGTTGATGAGTCCTTGCCAGCACTAATCTATGTCCTTGTCTTACTGAGAGCATGCTGACCTGGCTCATTACATCTCTCCAGCCCTCCTTCTTGGAGTGTTCTGAGTAATAACCGGTGTTTGTGATCCTGGCAACAGTGAACCCTATGTCCTGAGTACGCACTTTTGCTGGGGTCTGAAAGACAGACATATTATTCCAAGGACATGATGTTTGCTGAGTAAGGTGGTCATGGCTCCCACTGAGACGCAGTCACCTCTGATACAGGGCACATTTTCTCTGACATCAGAGATGTCACCATGAGCTTGTGGGCATCAGTGTCTGTAACCTCTGGTCTGTTCACACTATGGCCACTCAAGCTGTAATTGCAGTCACTGATGTGAAGAGGTTAAGAGTTGCTTTGACCAATCGTCTGTGAGCAGAGCATTTAAAAAGTCAATTGTTTTGACATCACTGTTCTCTTTCCTCTGACTTCTGTGGTTGTACAGACTCTGTACATGGCAGCTGAGCTCATCCCCAGCAATACTGAAGTGGGGACTTTGGACTATGCCCAAATGACATTCTTGTTTACTTCCTTGTTTCTAGATGACTAAGAATGGCACAGTAGAATCGGAAGAAGCTAGCACTCTGACGGTGGATGACATTTCCGATGATGACATTGATTTAGACAACACAGAAGTAGATGAATACTTCTTCCTACAACCCCTGCCCACAAAAAAACGGAGAGCCCTGCTGCGTGCCTCTGGTGTGAAGAAGATTGATGTGGAAGAAAAACATGAGCTGCGAGCCATCCGCCTGTCTCGGGAGGACTGTGGCTGTGACTGCAGAGTGTTCTGCGACCCAGAAACATGTACCTGCAGCCTGGCAGGCATTAAGTGTCAGGTAAGGATTGGGAATCTCAGGGTATCTGAAGAAAAAAAAGTCACATGCCACCCCAGAAAGAAGCAGTCGTGTTGTGTATATTGAGGCTTTTTTTTTTAACCTGGAGAAGAAAATGCTATAAAGGAAAGACACATAGTTCAAGGGGAAAGGAACCCTAATTCATGGGTATTCATAAAATACTTATACATACTGTGTATACTGTGAATGGCAGCTCAAACTTCTGCTGAGGCAGTTGAAGGCATTTCCCCCAGATTCTGTCATTGCAGCAGTTTATTTTAGCTTTTTCTACATTCAGTCTGGTAGAGGACACTGTGTGTTCCATTTGAGTTTATATTTTCTGGTCCATCCTAGGGTATAAAGTTCACCACCAGTGGTGTGGACTATGGGAGAAGTTCCTAGCCAGACAGACCTTAAAAGACTAAATTGCATTCTTACCTTGTCTGGCATCCCAGAAAAATGCTCAATGTCATTTCTGCAGTGATCAGGTTGAGATGCTGTCAAACCTGCAATGGAATCTAACTAGACACATTTTTTTGTAAACAGGGCTTAGTAGGGTACTGCCACTGTGTTTATCTGTTACTTGTGATGGATTTCATTCTTCAAAGTACTGAGATGGCATGGCTGCAAACCCCTAAATGTTCTCATACCCTTTCAGTGAAAAATAAAATGGAGTTACAATTTACAGCACGTACTCAGGGCCCCTAAGGTTTCCTTAACAAGAAAAGGGGGTCTGTCTTATTGCGGCAACAAGATTGGATGGAGGGATGTGCGGATGAAGTAAGGAGAGGACGTTTTGTAATTTGGGAATAATCTCATGAACTGTGAAAAGTCTATCTCATTCCACAGAGCCTGCAGTTTGACTTTGTATGAATAACAGTGGGAGATAGCCTCACCAACCTCACCTGGTGATTACACTTTTTAAAGCTTCAAGTTTAAAACTAATTAAAAATAAAAGCAATGGTTTACCAATTCCTGGGCAAGGTGATTCTCTGGCCCTGTCCATTTATAATTCACCAGAGCCCTGTGATTGGTTACCTGCTCTTACTTTATGTGGGAATAGCTTTATTCATTTAGAAAGAGAAAATCACTTAGGCAGCTGCAAGCAAAGGATGGTTCTCTTCCACTCAGCTGATGAGAACACATTTGCCCTTTCCATTCTCTCTCTCCTTCTCCTTCCTGTTTTGAATATAGTACCTTGTGGACACAACTGGCAGGTACTCTACCCCTGCTGAACTAATGTTTGCAAAGTATATTATTTTAAGAAAGGGATTTACTAAGTGGCCTGGGCCAGTCTCCAGCTTACAGGCCTTCTGATTCTCTGATGTTAAATTTATTGGCACCAGGTAAGTCAGTTTGAGTTGGGCTTCTAATCTAAGTGGGACCCGCATCCATGTATCAAGGATGTAGTTTTACTTCCCTTTGGGCCACCAGCTCACAAATAACATCACAGAGGCGTATCAATTATGAAAGCTTGGCCTTAGCTTGGGCTTTTCTTTCCCCAACTAACTCTTATAACTTAACCTGTTTCTGTTGATCTGCCTTCTGCCATGTGGCTCGGTTGCCTCTCCTCTGTACCATGTCTGACTTCCTCATGGTCTAGATGGCATCTCTGCCTTTCTTCTTCCCAGCATTCCTCTCTCTTCCCAGAAAATTCCACCTGTTCTCTCTTGCCTAGTTATTGACCACTTAGCTCTTTATTAAACCAGCCACAGTGGCACATCTTTACACAGTGTAAATAAGTACTCTGCAACATTCAAATGTAGCAAGCTTTTTCGTTGGACTGTCTTGGGTCGCCAGCCCCCAAATAACAACACAGAGACTTACTATTAATTATGAATGTTTGGCCTTAGCAAAATGGGAGCAAAAATCAAATGCAAAAAGAGAATGAAAAGTAGAAAGTGTGAAATAAGAAAGTCCTGGAGGGTGCGGTGAAATTTAAATTCTCACTTAACATCCTCAACCCACCGCTCTTTGAAACATACATTTAAAACCAGCTCTTTGAGAGTCTTCACTTCCCCTGCACGTTTCTTACTTTTCAACTTATTCATCATTGGCTGTGACATAAGTAGAACTTGAGTACATTACTTAATTCAGAGTAGTTGTTAGAAAGTCCTTGATTTTATTTATGTGGTCTGTAATAGTTCCATGGTGCTAATCTGTGTTCTTCCTTCCAAGGTGGATCGTATGTCTTTCCCATGTGGCTGCACTAAAGAAGGCTGTAGTAACACAGCAGGTAGAATTGAATTTAATCCTATCCGTGTCCGGACTCATTTTTTGCACACAATAATGAAACTTGAACTCGAGAAAAACCGAGAGCAGCAAATCCCCACGCTGAACGGCTGCCATGGTGAGATAAGCGGCCACAGTACTTCCATGGGTCCCGTCTCTCACTCTGTAGAATATTCCATCGCAGACAATTTTGAGATTGAAACCGAACCGCAGGCCGCAGTGCTGCACCTGCAGGAGGAATTAGATTGCCAAGGAGAGGAGGAGGAAGAGGAGGAAGATGGAAGCAGTTTCTGCAGCGGAGTCACTGACTCGAGCACACAAAGCCTGGCCCCCAGCGAGTCAGATGAGGAGGAAGAGGAAGAGGAGGAGGAAGAGGAAGAGGAGGAGGAGGATGACGATGACGACAAGGGGGAAGGCTTTGTAGAAGGGCTTGGAGCCCATGCTGAAGTCGTCCCTCTTCCTTCTGTTCTCTGTTACTCTGATGGCACCGCCGTTCACGAAAGCCACACAAAAAACGCTTCGTTTTACGCTAGCTCTTCAACTCTGTACTACCAAATTGATAGCCACATCCCAGGAACTCCTAGCCAGATCTCTGACAACTATCCTGAAAGAGATACTGTCAAAAATGGTGCCCTTTCGCTGGTGCCTTACACCATGACCCCAGAGCGATTTGTTGACTATGCCAGACAAGCAGAGGAGGCCTACGGGGCCTCCCACTACCCAGCTGCCAACCCTTCCGTCATTGTCTGCTGCCCCACTTCTGAAAACGATAGCGGGGTGTCCTGTAACACCTTATACCCTGAACACAGGCCCAATCTTCCCCAAGTGGAATTTCACTCCTACTTGAAAGGCCCTCCCCAGGAAGGGTTTGTCTCCACGTTGAATGGCAACAGCCACGTTTCAGAGCATCCTGCAGAAAATTCTCTGAGCCTTGCAGAAAAGAGCCGATTGCACGAGGAGTGCATCAAATCCCCCGTGGTGGAGACCGTCCCTGTTTAGTTGCTCAAATTAGTCTATTATAGGACCAAGTCTTCTTCTATTTAAGACACTATTGCGTTTGCTGGGCTCATCATTCTTTAGCCTGAAGACCAAGAAAGTGTGGCCTGTGATTAATCTTCCAGACAGTGTTTCTTTCCCTTCTTTCTAGCTTCCCAACTGTGGTGTGGCACAAATAAAATACAGTCGCTGTGGGGATTTTAAACGATTTTGAACTGTTTTGATAGAAAATGCTAAATTTTACAAAAAAATGCATATCTCACAGTTGCCTACCTGTCAAACTGTGTGAAACCTGCCAAGCTATGCAGATCATAGCTCCAAGTTTTAGGTTATCGGGCCTGTGCAAGATTGTTAACTAAGCCTAGAAAATAACCAGATTTAGAGTCCTAATTTTCGATATATCTGAAGATGATGGTGACTTTTTAATGTAAAAGTAATTATTGTAAGAAAAAGATTGAATCGTTTCTTGTGTATTTTATTTATGGTAGTTTAGAAGTCCTGCTTTGATGAAAATGAACAGCATGTTCATTGAAGCTGCGGTTGCATTAGCTAGCAATACAGAGCATGCCCAGGAGGATCGCACCTGGAACCCGCCCACATTTTTATGATCTTGATTAAGCAGATTTGCAAATACTTTCTTAAGGACGACATAGGCCTATTTTTGCTATTTGGGACAAATAAGTCTATATGTGCAGGTCCTTAACGCAGTTTTCTCTGAAGTTAAGAGTTAGGACAATCCTCTGGTGAGGGTCCAGTTCACTGCCCTCCCTCCGCTGAGAAAGATGGAATTGCCTTTCTTTTAAACAGTGTCATCATGTTTTTCAGCTTAGCCAGCACCTTTAAACTCCACCCCCTCCATCAAAATGCACTTTAGTGCCCCTTCATGGTACCTCGTGTGGGGTGGGGTCTCAGTACACTTTCAAATCAAGGTTTGTTTGTTTTTTTATTATAAAAAAAAGTTAACCAGTGTAAGGTTCATACAATAAAGATAATAGGGGATACTTTCAATGGTATGAAGGAAAATGACTTGTTTTCCTTCACCATTCTGAGGACCTAACTCAGTAACATAGAGGAGGCTGGGAAGGAAAACAGAAGAGCACAGCCTCAGAAATCAATCTGTTCTACACGGCGATCAACCCATCTCTACAAAAGCAGATACGTGCCATAAGATTTCCACTTAGTGACTAGCTGATTGAAGGCAGACCTGGACTCACATACGCATGAGGCCTTACTTTTCCGAAGCGTTTATATTGGTCTTACCTAGGACAGTGAGCACCACAGTCCAGAATGCATTGCAAAGGCGCTCACTTCACGTTCTCTTAGTAAAGGGAGTGCATGGAAAGGAAACTTCCACTGTCTGCCTCTGGCTTGCCTACTTGGTGCCCAGGAGGACTCCGAGCAACCCCTTTTTCTGTAAGCTTAAGTAACTATAAGGATGAGTGCTATGGTTTCCCCCGTGCAATGATTAGGCTGAATCCATTTCCCAGTCTTGACATTCTATTGTTACATCATTTCACAAGTTTTATGACTATTTAAAATGTAGACACACCCTGCTATGTAGCAACTGCATCCCTCATGTTTTTTATGCCTCCTGGACCTGGGCATTAATCTTACAGATTTTAGTTCCTTACAACATACTGTCTTATTTGATCAGACTCCAATGTGCTTAGAGTCCTCCAGTGAGGAGGAGTCTGTATTTAAGCTCAATGTGGGGAAAGTGTGTTTGCTTGTAGAATTGGTTCCTACCCATCTCTACACCACCTCAAGGCCAAATCAACACTAATTATTATTAGCATGAAAAGCACTTTGAGTTTGTCATGCTCTAGAGAGCATCAGTGGGGTGTAGACCAGCTTCTTTTGGTTGATTGGCGGGACTAATCTGATGGAAGTGTGCTCTGACTATGGTAGTGTGACCAGAGTTATCTGCAGTGTTGCCCTTTGTAGTGTTTGATCTCCAGTTTCCCTGACCCCTGCCTACACAATCTGAAGAGCAGGGACTCAAAGAGAAAATGACAATAGGCTATTGTTCCTTCATTCAAGCAAATGGAAAATTTTCACTATTGCTGGGCCATTCCAACCTCTGGGAGTATTGACTGGTAAGGCAGCCTCAGGCTATTCTTATGACAGAGTGTGGGGAGGCACAGGGAAACCCTAACTAGGATAGAGTTGAAGGGGGTAATGATAGTCCAGTTCCTGAACCCTTAGATATGTTCATTTCAGTCCAACTTTATGTTACAAGGCTTAAACCCTGCCTTTTTGTGTTTGACTGGGTTTCTCTTTTGCAGCTTTATTTTTCCCAGAAGGACACTTCAAAAACAGAGCTTCCTTCCTCTCTGTATTCAGTTGGGGTGGAAAGTCTCACTCTGCTAAGGATAATTACCTTTCTGAACGTGAAAGCAACCATTCCAATTCTTCACATACCAAAGTAAGGCACAGGCATTTCTCACAAATCATAATAGGTACAGGCTACCTATTTTAACAACAACAACCTACATACTTTATCTGTTATACACACACAAATACAGAATACACATGTACACATAACCTAGACTGCGACAGATTTTAGGCAATAGTTAGTAATGAGTACTGGATAGTTAGTTCTTCCAGTACAATCAGGCTGTGTCTTATCTAAAAATATAGAAGAAAATTTTGACAGCACTTGATAGACAATACTGGGTTAAAGTTACAAATAGTGATAATGAGGAATAATCTCTTTTATCTTCCTTGCCCGGTAAAAACTGAGAACACAATGATTCCTCTGTATTTTTCTTTCCGTTAATAGACCTATTCAATAAAAATCTGCCCACATGCAAGGCAAGTGCTACAGTGATTTCTGGTTTTCAAAGGGAGGGATGTAGTTGGATGCAGCCAGGTTGAGACACTTTGCGCCTTTGCACCAAGGCACAATGATACGACCTGCAGTTATTGCCTTGCTTCTATAGTATATCTAACCAATTTGAGTCTTTCTGTGTGCACAGCTCCCAAGTCTTGCACTGTCAAAGGCAAGGCCCCAGTGCTCCAGTCCCTATTGTTTTAAAGATTTGATTCCCAGCTATACTGGCCAAACTGATTTGCAAGTCAAGTGGTCTGATCAGCCTCATCTCCTTTATCTATTTTTTTAATTTCATTGGTAAAAAGAAATCAAAGACCATTTTAAGTCTCCCCGAAGCCCCACCCACCATGTATTGACCATTAACTGTTAAAATCCAATTGTCTCTTTTCTTTTAGTAGATTGAATAATATACTTCTTAGATACAGTTTTTGTGGAGAAATTATGGTTTTCTCATCATGTCATGCCAACCACATATAAAAATCCAACATTCTCCCTGGAGTGATGAAATCTGTATAATCACATGACCCAGCGGTCTCCTCTGGTGTGCTCCTACAAAGCAGTACCAGTTATAGAAACCTGCCACATTTCTCAAGATGGGCAGAGGTTATGCTGATTCCATTCTAGGCAAATTTTGATTTAGTTTTCATTAAACAACAATGCAATTTATTTCCTAATTGATATCTCACTTTTTAACTGTTACCTTTTACAAGCTCTTAATAACTTAGTGTTGATCTTTAGAATATATTAAATATCCATTTTTCTTTTAACAAATGTTTATTGGGCACCTCCTATGTTATAACAGCTGGCGTGGTAGCAAAATGAGCAGGGGAACTGTGTATTTGGCAGGATGAGGATAATGGGCAGGTGGCATGAGATGGCCAAGCCAGGTCAGATCCATTTACATAGAATCCAGTGCCCTGTTGGAAACACTGTCATCAATTCTTCTCATTCCACACAAACTGCTTCTAAAAGGAGATGGTTTTCCCTAAATTAATGGAACTTACCGCATTCCCCTGAAACTTAGGAAATAAATTTGGATTCAGAGAAAAGGTGTTCATTGAGCTGTTTCTTGGTTGCAGAGCTATCTAAGAAAATGTCATATGCATGCCACTAAACTCCCACCAGTTTTGATGAATACAGAACCCAGCAATGTGGGACATGACCGTCTTACTCATTTTACAAACAGACTTTTAAAATGGTGGACCCCTGCACCAAAGGTATCGCCAGAAGCAGCTAGACAATGAGAAGGGTCGTTAGTGACCCCTCCTTTCAGCTGTAGTTACAATCCAGTGACAGTTTAGAGTCATTATAGTTGACAAATAAGATGACAAGTGTAAATGGAAGACACCATTATGCTTTCAAGGTCAAAATGACCATAACTTGAAATTGTAACTATTTGTCGTATTGTTGCCATGACCGACACTCAAAGTGCAAAGTTCGATCACTTCTACTCCTATTACAAAATTGAAATTTCTTACTTTATCCTTTTCCAAGAACTGTGAACTTTTGTTGGAGTCACTTAAATGTCACAGCTTTGCACCAACAGTTCAGCTCATTGGATATTTTTGGTAGTGTGACAGACTTTAATTGACTGAAGAACCACAATTTGAGAACTCACTAAAACTGTAAAAGGGACAGGATAGGGGTTCAGATGGGATGTGAGTTTGGAACTGATAGCATCTGCTAATAACTATGACTATGTCTCAACAGAGTTGGGCCGGGGGTGAGCGCACTGAAGGTTCATAAATAAAAGGCACTCCAAAACCAAGAAAGTCACTTTTGAATTGGCTGAACCTGAAGCCCAGCTGGTATTCGCATTTGCGGGCCAACGTGCAAAGCAGTTATGTTCATTCTCTATCACGTAAGAACACAGACTTCCAGCAATCTAAAACGTCTTTAAACACACACATACACGCACCAAATGCTAAATGACTAAGCAACTAGCGTTGTTGAGAAAAGGAATTTAGAACGAGAATTCTAAATTGTTTAACAAATGTGACTCTGAAACAGTCATGTGTAAGTTTCGCCTCAGTTCCTCTCACACCAGTATTCCTCAAGCAAGACCGTGAGACCCAGTGTCTTCTAAACAACATGGCTGTCTTTCTCTTTCGTTGCTCATCAGAAACTTAAACCGGAAACCTTAGTACTGCCTGGGTTTTCTGGTGGTCAGTAATAGGGCTCATCTAACTGTAAGCTCTTGCCTGCTGTGGGGGTTTCCACTCTGAGTGGTAAATTAGATAGAACGAGAATTGGGAGAGTAGGAATCACCTCCAGAGGCTAAACTGGATGCCTTTCCAGGATGCTGTTTATAAGAAAAGTGTTTTAATGCCCTTAACATAGAAGCTGGATCTTTAGTGCAAGCAGACATTTGTTACGCATGGGAAAAGAAATCACTCCAAAGATTTATGTCCTGCTGCTTACTGTTTTCTTTCCTCACCACTAGTCTTTCACTATGCAGGCCTCTTGCTTTGTATCTGACCCTTCATGCTTGCTTACATTTCAAGAAAAGACAACTCTATTGTTATTTTATTTCATCTTTCACAAAGGCTGGTGGGACCAGCCTTCTGAAGGAGGTTGATGATCGATGTTATTTTAGACAGCATTTGTGCTCAGTGGGCTTGCTGGAATTCCTGACTATCTTTTTAACATACTGATAGCAAAGTCAGTTCAAATTATAGTTTTTGTCACAAGTGAAAGGTTGTCTAAGTATTTTAAGGGTAATGCATATTGATTAGAAAGGACTATAAGGAGATAAATTAGGTAGAAATCAGCCTTGCTTTTGTCAAAATTGATTTACGTGACTTTATTGATTTTTTAGTTGTAGCGTTAAAACAGCTTCATAGTTAAATGTCTTATTTCTCTATAATTCTTTTCCAATTTTTTCATCTGGCTTGGAATGAGCCTAAAGTTATTTATTAATATAAAGAAAATTGAAATTTAAGGTGTCTCTTTAAAAATTATCTACCTATACCATGTCTTACAGCACACAAAATCAAATTCTCACCCTCTTGTCTGGGTCATGTGCCCCTAAAGTAGTTTGATTTTCATCCCTGTATTGAAGAAATATCAAGAGGAAATTTATAGCACATTTTACCCAATATGGCTTTGTCCTCATTTTTATGCTGGTCACCAATTTTTCTCCCTTTTCTTATAAATGCCATCAGTATTCAAAACAAATTCAAAGAAATATATAAATTATAAAGTTTATTTAAATATGAAGAAGAGAAAGTACTCATTTTTAAGTGAATTCCCCTAAAGAGGAAAATAAAATCTAAAGCTAGGGAATAAATTGTTGCCCTTAAAAAATAGTGTTTATACTTGAGTAACGGAATGGTACCCAAATGGTATTTGGAGTTGATAGATTTTAAATTTTAATAGCTGCAAAAGTCATTTAGGTTTTTTTTTTTCATCACAATTTATCACAGTCTACTGCCAGGATATACCATCGGAACCCTGATTTGTTAGGCTCTAGTCATGCCCAACAGGTAGTTTAGGACAGCTTAATCTTCTTAAAGATATTCACAGAGGCCAACTAAGCACGAATAATGGGACATTTGAGATTATTCTATGTTCTTCAGATTGTACAGGCCTGAGTCTAAGAGAGCTCTCCAGAGGTCATATGGCTCGTTCATCTACCTCTGGGGAGGACTGTCACTCAGGCATAGCCAACAGCACAGATACCCGTTTCTTCTTGGCATCTCTAGGGAAGATGGTTTCCTTGGCAACACAATCCAGCTCTTTCAGGTTTCCTCATGATAAGAACATACCTTGGCCAATCTTTCTGGACGAGGTACCTGGCAACAATTGTGGTAATTTGAGCGATTGTATTGAAAGACTGTAGAAGATGAGTTCTCTGTTCATCTAATGATTATTACATAAGGCAATTCTCCAAATGTCTTAAGAGAACAAATTTTAAAAGAAAGTGAAGGTACTCGGACACTTAGTAATGTGGCCTGCTTTTGGAAATTAAGTATTAGGCAGCTTTTATTCTTTTATATTTGCTTTTTAAAAATTACTGTCATATCCGTGAGAGTGACTGGTTTAGATCCCAGTTGAAAACATCAGAACTAGAGTCAAGTGACTTGACCTTATGCTGTTCAATTCTCTGAGAAGTTACAATTTTAAAACAAGATGAAAAAGGGCATATTTTTCTATGTGCTTGCTTGTGAACAAGTACCTTCTTGTTAACCTTCCCTTAGCATAAGTAACAAATGAGAATCTGGATGTTTTCTTCTCCTTCTGGAGAACGTGACTGTGTGAAGAATTTGATCAGGCGCCATTTGATCCTGGCCTGTGTCTATGAGGATCTTATGTAAACAATGACTGTTTGTATTCTCACAAATCACAAAAGTGATTTTAAAACTTGTCATCTTGAAAAGTCCTGTAAACTGAAGGAGTTCTGGGAAAGGGTGATGTTTGTTTTAGTTTAGTGTTTCCTTTTTTTCTTTTCTTTACCCCGATGACATCACTTGCCCCAGACACTCCCTGCAGCTTTCAGCCCCATTTTCTTTTTGCCTGCAACTCAGAGAGAGCACCAACAGGAAGTTGTGGACCACCCTGGCCGTCAGGGTTTCCTTTCTGCATCTCAATATGGCTGCTTTTCCCCACCTGGGCATATATATGAAATGATAGCCAGTGTACTTGGTCCCCATGAGTAACTCCCCATGGGGAAGTGACCCAGTGACACTCTCAGTTAAAAAAAAAAAAACAGAAAAAAGAAAAAAAAAGTTTCTGTAGAATGCTAGTGTAATGAATGGTGAATAAAATCTGGCCTATGTTTTAATTGACTCTAGGCACCTCAACAGAAATAAGTCTGAGACATAGTTTGTGAAACAAGTTTCAAAAGTGTTGATGTATAATAAATGCTAGACAATTACAGTACAGAAATAGTAAAAGGAAAAACCCAAACCTGTAGATTACATCTCTGTTCCTAAGAACTCAGCCTTTGTTGTGTCTTAGTAATGTCTCTCTTTCTCTTTAGTTTACAGCATTTTGGTGTAATTGCCTCTTAAGATAGAACTATGTACTGATTAATGCCTGTTAATGAAGAAAAGGCACTTTGCAATTTTAATGTGTTTCCCTCAGAGTCACAGGGTATATGAATTTGATAGGGAAGGTCATTTGGCATTGGTCATCAAAACATTTTCCACATCTAAAATCCACATATACAATTGTTGTCACCCTCCGCAGTGTCTTTGTCTTGATCATAGTCTTAGGCATCAACCATGTCTCCACTTGCAAGCTGCCATAGGAACTTGGTACATTTGAAAACCCTGGTAAGATGTAATGAACTGTACATGTGGCTAGATCACGTGATCCCGAGGACTCCTGTACCTTCTGTCTGTGTTGAACCATCCATGCATTAGGAATGGTCCTTTAAGAAAGATGGTCTATTGAGGGTACTTGTTTTGGGTGTTTGTTTTTGGGCCTGTTGGAAGCTGGCAGGGGGAAAATGCATCACTAAAAACTCAGAAAAGTCACAGCACTATAACGTACATTTTAACATTGATCGACTGAATTTTATCTTTCAACAGATTTGTATCATTCCTTTTACCCAATAGATTTTCAATAGATATCTTCATCACTGTTATGTGCATTCTGATGTCTTGTAAGGTTGAAAGGGAAGAAAATCAAACTACAATCCATACAGTCATTTTACAGTATGATGTCATGTTGTTTGTCACAGTTTGTAGACTGATTTTTCTTGTGTACAAGTTATGACATCAAAGATGCCAAAGGGGATATGAAATAAGCTACAATGATATCCAACAGAATTTAACCTGGACTTTGTGTTGTAATAATTTATTCATATTAGCTCTAGTCTTCTGTATTTATATTTTCAGTATTTATTATGAATGACATGGAAATTCCTGTATTTATTGTGGCTTTTGTTGCAGTGTGTGTATGTATGTATATATATATACATATATATATTACAAATAAGCATTTTTAAGTCTAATCTTTTAAGTTTCTTTTATTAGTGGCACTTGTATTGTGCTGTATTTTTTATTATATATTGTACAATAGCTTGTCCATTTGTTTGCAACAGAGTAAAACTGGTTTCTAAATTGTAGATCCTGTTGGATTTTTATTGTTATCTGTGTAAAACTGATGTTCTTGTGTCCTAACTGTTAGTGTTTTCTGCCTTCCTTCACACTCGTATGCCTTCTAGAACACCTGTACCAGGAACTGGGCAGATAGCTTCCACGGTAAAGTTTGATCTTCAGATCCCACATAAAAGAACTAGGAGTGGTCAGCACACTGGTAATTTCAGCCCTGCAAAGGTTGAGACAGGTGGGTCTCTGGGGTCACTATTAGTCTGCCTAGCATACTTGGTTTTAGGCCAGTGAGAGATCTTTCCATTAAAAAATGAATAAACATAAATAAGTGAATAGTTCCCAACACATACAAGCAAGTGTGCACACACACACACATACACACACACACACACACACACACACACACACACACACACACACAAAAACCACCTCCTTCCAGTGTCACAGATAACATTCTTAAAAAACCGTTTCTACAAAATGGCTCATTACATTACTGTTTCGAAGATGTGTTAACTTTATGATGATTGATCCCAGAGTGTAAATGCTTGCCACACTTTTCCTTCTCAGCTTCTCAACACAATAATCAAGTAATGACGTGTAAACAAACATGGAGACCAAAGGGAACTCAATGTAAATGAAATTTCAGAGGATGATTTACAAAAACACACTGTCTTGTGACTCTGTCTTTTAATTCAATTGTATATGGTTTTTTGTTTTGGTTTTTTGTTGTTGTTGTTGTTGTTTTCTTTTGTTTTGTTTTTGCTTTGCTTAAAGCCAAAATGGTGTGATCTTATGTTGAAAACATGCACACACAAAGGTTCTCAAATATGCCTATCTGCTTAGAGATGTTAACTAAAATAATCAAAGCAATTTTATCAGGATGAGGACAAAGAAAGAACTCATTCTTAAAATCTCATCAAATGTAGGGCATGGCCTTCAATCTGGTTTCTTATATCAGGATATTATATCTATAGTCTTGAGAGATAAATGATATGAAGTTGTTTGATAATACTCTAACTTGGGTTTGATCATGTTATTTAAATATCTCTCATCCTTATCGACAATAAAATGAAGTCTATCTTCTTTGGAATGCCTTACAAGGTGTCTGAGAGCCACTTACAACCAACCCTTCCTAACCTTGTCTCTTCATCACTCTTTTTGCTCTCCTGTACCCCTGACCCGCAAAATAGATTGCTTAGCTCTTATATGTAACCCAGCTGTCCCTGTTGATGATCAATTGTCACTGCGTCACTTGTGTCCAGAATGTCACTCCCACTCTTGTCACGGCAGCACAATTCAAATGGCCATTGGCTTCGTTTTCAACAGAAGACTCTAGTGTCCCTTTAATCATGTTACCATTCTGATTCTCGACAAGCTCTGCTATGCCACAAACATACATTAATGAGAAATCCTTTACACTTGTTCATAAATGTATTTCCTCTTCCGAAGTTCCTCTGATCCAAGGGGTGTTAACATATGAGAGCATGCACACGTGCGCATGCACACAGACACACACCTACACACTCAAGTTACACTTCAGGAAGAAAGAATTTTCTTCTGTGTATGTCTCTTCAGTATAAGGCAGTGGACTCTGTTAGGAACAGATCATTACAGATCTGGCTTGTTGGCTCAGTGGCTAACAAACATGAGAAGCTGAACGTGATCCCCAGAAACTGAATAAAGCCAGGTTCAGTAGCATACATCCCCAATCCCAGTGTTCCTACATCGAGATGGGAGGCAGAGACAAGAGAATCCCCCAAAGCCTGTAGTCAGCTACCCTGGTATATTCAGCAATCAAAGAAAAAGACCCTGCCTGTCAAACAAGAAAGGGAAGGAGGGAGAGAGAAAGAGGAGCAAAGGGGATGAAGCCTTTCAGAGAAAGGGAGATACCAACTTTCCACAGGAGCCCAGCAAGTTCTAGCCAGATGATAACCGTGGTGAGCGCGCGCGTGCGTGCGTGCGTGTGTGTGTGTGTGTGTGTGTGTGTGTGTAGGGCATTAGGAGCAAAATTTATCCTTGGAGTCATCCTTTGGTAACCTTTCCAACCACCTCAGAACTGTTCACTGAATGTCAATGCTATGGAAAGAAAGTGGTCTTTGGTGACTTGGAACTCTGCTGTGGAGGACAAACATGTGACAAGCAGAAAACTGAGGAGTGTGTGGACAGCAGTCTCTGAAGCTAGGACAGGCCCATCCTTACAGGGGGTGCCTTAGACAGTACCCCAACTTTGTGTCTTTCCATCCATTCCCCACATCATAAATTTCAAGGAACAACACCTCCAATATTTTGCAAATCTGTCTTCCTGGGGGACACTCCGAAGAGCAGAGAAAGCATGAAAAAGAGCCTTGCTGCTCAGCTTTTTCTAGAACCACAACTGATTCTCATTCTATCTTTCTTTCATTGTTAGGTCCCACTTTCTCACCTTCAGCTAGCGCTTCTTGCAGCCACAATGCTGACCTACCTGGTGACATAATCTATGCCTAAAAGCCATCTATGTAAATTGCTTGTCTGCTCCCATGTGTACTAGTAGACACACCTCTTTCTTATGATCAAGATCAAGTACATGTACCCAAATATTAACTGTCTACCTCATCTAACATGCCTAGATGGAGCCTTCTGTAAACCACTTGGTACCTGGTAAAGGTGCATCCCCTTTAAGAACGTGGCCCATCAGCCTTTCAGAGCTTGCACAGTTGTGGTAGAAGAAGCACATCTGCTTTTCAGTGAGTTCTGTTAAGGAAAGCAATCTTCCTTCCATTTGGCTTCTGCACAGAATTCTTTATTCAGTGCATGACCGCCTCTCAGTAGCTATGGAGGAACTCTTCCAAGATCCCCAATGTATTTAAAGCCAAAATGATACTCAAGTGCCTTACATGCGGTGGAGGAGTGGTATTGCACACAACCAATGTGCATGTTCCAACATTACACAGCATCCCCAGATTACTTCTGATAACTGACACAATGTAAATATTGTATAAACAGCAGCCTGCCATATTGCTTAAGAAACAATGACCAAAAAAATCTGTATTTGAGTCACAGGTATCTTTTTGTCAAGTATTTTCCATTCATAATTGCTTGAATGCATGAATGTAACTGGCCAGATATGAAAGTCTGACTGCATTACCTCACAAAGATTCTTGACCCAATGCACAAACTGCACCCAGAGAATAAATAGTACTTCATTCCTGCAGAGTATTGCCACCAAATTTTCACCTCAACTGCATTGTCAATAGCCTCTCTACGAGTTATAGGTTCAATAGCTCTGAAGCCTGTAGCACACCACACTGATGGCTCTCATGACAATATGTCCTGTTCACACCTCCTTTTCTGTGAGGTAGTCCTGTTCTGATGTGAGGTTTTGTGGGCTCCCATATAAGAACATCAAATACGTAGCAAGCTTCTGAGTCCCCGCAGTTAAGAACAACAAATTCACGCTTAGAATATTTTCAAATATTTAAAAATAAACCCAAAATATTTCTGATCCTTCTAGGATATGAAGGGCCACTGTGATCCATTTGCCATTTGAGTATCTCATTAGACTTCAGAAAAACAATAACATCCCCGGGGCTCAGGATCAACCTCTGTGGCTGGAAATCTGTACAGTTGGCAGCAGCTGGGATTTTATCCTCCCTGGTGAGAGGTGGGTCATACTCATAGTGTCTTCATGTTTCCCTGACACCCAATCCCTGAGCCTGCCATGGCAACACTGGGGAAGCCCAGGATCAAGGCCAGCTGCTGTCAACTAGCCAAGATAGTCAACCTATATCAGTACTATCCAAAACAGATGTAATATGAGCTACAAGGATGAGCTGCCATGCCATTGTAAATTATCTCACAGATACATTTTAAAAGGAAATCAACGTTGATAACATTTTATCTAAACTAATGTGTATTTTCAAAGTGTTCTCAACATACAATTACTAGGAATGTTTTATCCATGTGTTACTATTTGGAATCCAGTGTGTATTTGAAATTTTGGTATATTTCAACTTGGAGTCATCAAATATGCCTAGTGAATGCTCTTTTGGATATCACAGACCCAGGGTGTGATTCATCGACAACAGGGTGCACACTCTCATAGTAGTTGACATATTATACAAATGTATTTACTCTATGGCCACTCACTCATGTCATCCACATACTAGTTGAAAGACATCCTTACCCTAATCTTCTACTGACTTTCCTTTTGTGTCTCTGCCTGGTAAGCCAGGTTCAGCCACCTCAGCCCATGTTCACACACGGAACTTGTTCCACACAAACAGAATGTTCAAGCACACCACCAACTCTGTCTGCTAGGCATCTCCCCGCCATTGTTTTCAAATCTATTCTTGGATAGGGCTAGAATGTAACTTCCATGCCTTTTGGGGGAGGAGGTATATGGTGGGTGGGACTTGTATAAGAACTTGTATAAGATAGACCAGCCCATCTGGGAGTCACAGTCAAATGTTTTTCCTCCTCCCCCAACTGGCCACTCAAGATTCTCTCTATGGAATGAGGCACATGCTGAGAGAGAGGAGCTGGCACAAAGTGGTGAATGCATGGAACATAAGCCTCCTAATCCAATGTCCTTGTGCCCTACATCCTAGTTCATACTGGAGCCTTGTCTTTGGCTTGTAGAATGCATCTGAGGATCCAGGGCTGTGAGTTCTGCAATTTCTTTTTGTGATGAAACTGTTTGTTTGTTTGTTTGTTGCACGTAGAGTATATGTATGTGGATGTAAATATGACGTCACTGGTATGGAGGTCAGAGGACAATGTGAGGAAGAGGGTTCTCTCCTTCCACCATGTGAGTCCGGGGGATTGAACTTGGGTTGTTGGGCTTGGTGGCAGGTGCCTATTCTTGCTGAGCCATATAGCCCGCTCTGTCACAATGAATGGTTCCAGAAGCAAAGTCACACATGCAGTCTCCACGAGGTCCTGGCAACATGTTGGGGGCCGTTTTTTTTTTTTTCAGAACATAAATATTTCACTTGTGCAAGTTACTTTTCCCATTGCTATGACAAAAACACTTGGCAAGAGCAAGTTATGGAAAGAAGGATTTACTTTGGATTAAAAGCGGAGTGTAATCCATCACGGCAGGGAGGCCTGGTGGCAGAAGCATGAGACAGCTGATCGCATTGTTCCTGAAGTCAGGAAGCAGAGAAAGATGAATGCTATTGCTTAGTCCCTCCCCTACCTATTTTTATTCAACCTGGAGCCCCAGACCACAGTACAGTGCTATATGTTCGAATTTAAGATGGGTTTTTCTACTCCAGTTAACCAAATCCAGATACCCCCTCACAGGTGTGCCGAGAGAAATCAACCATTTCCATGATGATTCCAAATCCCATGAGTTGGCAATCAAGATTGACCATGGCATTGCTGCTGCGACTAGCACTGCCTTGATCTCAGGTCCTTTGACACAGTCCTCCCACTGGTACTTGCTAAATTTGCACAAAACACCCTCCCATCACCAATACATAGTATACAACAGGCAAGGATTCCAACAGCAGGGCTGGCTATATTGCACTCAATAACAGCAAGAGACCTTTCTTTCTGTTCTACGTGAAAGCTGTCACCCTTCACTTTGGCTGGGCAGAGCAATGTTTCCGGATGTGACTTGTATAGAAAACTTAAAGAGGCTCACCTGGTCACATGCTTCCTCAGAATGTTGGGGGCTGTGGTGTGATCCTTCCACACCACAGGAACCCCAAAGTTTATACTGGTGCGGCAGTGTAGAATAAAAGAATTTATCTCCTGTCTTCCACATTTGCATGTGTTTTTACTGAAGCCACTATCGTATTGGCAACCTGTTGTTCATCTGATCTGATTAAGGATAGAATTCTGTGAAATATCCAGAGAATTTAGATCTCTTTGTACCATTTTATATGGGAGTACAAAACTAAATAGATGTTATACACAGGCATGCAACCAATTTCAGATTCTCTTTTTCTAGTTGGAACAGAAAGGAATGCATTTGCCTAAATAGTGGCTTTATTCACACACCTCAAGTTCCTTAACTTGTGTTAGCAAATGTGCTCCATTTGGCACAGCACCAGCAAATGGGACTGCCACTTGACTGAATTTGCCACACACCATCCCCATTCTTCTGGATGTG